AGGAATTTTGAAATTCGAATTCAGTCGGTTGAGCACAGAAGTAGAAAGAAACACACCCAAAACGCAGCGTTTCGTTTTTTTTGGTTTAACCCAAAGTTCTCAAACCGGGGAAATAAATGAAAGTCTTATAATATCAATATTTTTCTTTGAAGAGTAACATTTTTGATTGTTTTATTTTTTTTTAATTCTTTACACCATTGTGATTACAATTATCTCAAATTTACAAGAGACACATTAAAGCATTTTACCACTTATACTCACAACAAGAAGAAATTTAGTTAGAGCCAAACTCTGAGTTCCAACGTTCGAGCTCTTCCCATTTGCTTTTACTCAAGCTTGGCCTGATCACACTCATCGATTTACGGAAATCATCATATCGTAGCGGTCTAACCTGTTACATTACAAAGGTCTAATTGATCAAAACCTCTTAAACTCCAGAGACTTCAAAATTGATTTGAGAGACTAAGATGGTTTAATACTTTGTTTGCTTGGATTGTTAGAATATCTGCACCTAGTTCTCGAATTGGCATCATTGCAGCTTCTTCGCATAATGCTTGAAGATCGCTTCCTGAGTATCCTGTAACATAGGAAAGCTTACACTTATTAGTTACTAGACTAAGAAACAGTCTCATGTCTTGTGGTAATACAAAATCTATAAAGCTTGCCTTCGGTTTCTCTGACGACTTTATCAATGTCGCCACTGGATAAAGAGTGAGGCTGGCACTTCAATTTGGTTTTAAAAAGTAGTTTTCTGACGTTTGAATCCGGCAATGGTACATATATTCTCTTAACCTATAAAAGTGATAAAATCAAAGTACAAAATTAGATACTTTAGTAGAAATTGGTGGACATGTAAATCCCGATGGCGATAATGGTTCTTACCAATCTCCTAAGCACTGCATCATCCAACTCCTGTGGCTTGTTAGTAGCTCCTGAAAAATATTACATCCAAGTAAATTTATAGGACAAGGAAAACAGAACAGATTTAAATCAATACTCAGAGATGTTCTATGCAATTCAAGTACATATACATCAGGAAGCATACCAATGACAATCACTAAATCATCAGGATTAGAAGTGACACCATCAAATTGGATAAGGAATTCTGATTTTAATCTTCGGCTTGCTTCATTCTCACTGATCGACCTTGTAGACATTATACTATCTATCTGAAAACCAGAGCAAAAGCATATTCAGATCTCTAAGTGACAACATGTTTATCATGAAATCTCGATCAAACTTATATGGTATTATCTAGAACTCCGGTAAAAGCAGGTGTTATGCTTAGTCAATATATAAGACAAGAAAGGGGAAAAGTACATACTTCATCCATAAAGATCACAGACGGCTGTCTTGATATTGCAACTTGAAACAGCGTTTTAACTAGCTTTTCAGCCTCACCCACCTGAATACATACAATAAATTTACTTTAACTATTTCAATTGAAAAAAAAATTCAACAAAAGAGAGTAACAAAGAACCAGACTAAGCACACACCCATTTTGATGTCAAGGAAGACGCTGAGACGTTGAAGAACGTTGCCTGTGACTCAGAAGCGACTGCCTTGGCAAGCATTGTTTTTCCATTTCCAGGTGGACCAAAGAGAAGCAGACCTAACAAAGAAGAAATTTACCAAGGATGGTACTTGAGAAGATCAAGAAAAAACCAAGCTTGCAAAGTTTACCTCTCGCTGGTCTTCGGAGACCAGTGAACAAATCTCTTCGTTTTGCAGGTAAAATAACCATCTCCATTAAAGCTTGTTTAGCTCCATCAAGTCCAGCTACAGATAATTCAGCATAAGCGTGTTTCCACGTATTGGGTCGAAAAGACAGAACAACAAGAAAAGCATAACAATGGTACTCACCAACATCATCCCATTTAACAGATGGACTTCTATCCACTATTGTTGTGTTTATCATCTCTAGCAACTTATCATCGTAACCATTTCCAGATTCTTTCACAGGTTTTGGGTTTGCAGTAGCATCTTTAGGATTCCTTGCCGTTGCAATGCCACTTCTGGGAAGTGAAGTCTTTTGTGTCGAACCTCTTCTATACCTTGACGCTGTAGTGGAAACTGAAGCTGAAGAAGGAGATGGTACTGTTTTCTGCATAATCAAGAATCAAAAGAGGATTGAAATATACACTTAATGCCTTCATGAATTACGCAGATCAATCCCAATAGAGAAACATATCACTCAAAAATCTACAAATATCAGATTCTCCTTTTAACATTTTAGAAACAAAAAGAACATAAAGAAGCAAAGATAGTACCTTATTCTCAGACATTCCAACACCTAATGTAAGAACGCCATTGATGCCAGAAACAAGTAAAACAAGAAAGAGTCAATGAGAATTCACTTGTACTTTTTTTCATATTACATAAACTCAATACTTCAATATACCAAAAAAGAATCGAATTTATCACCTGTCCGCTTACCAAGAGCTTGCAATCTTTCAGATACTTGATTCTGCCATTTAGAAATCTTCTCTCTATAAGATCTCACCTTCTCCTTTTCACTAACCATATAAGTCAAACAAAACAACCAAACTTCTCAAACAAAACCTAACAAGAACTAAAGTTTTGTTTTTTTGATTGATAAAGAACAAGAACTAAATCTGAAAATATCAAAATACCTCGAAGTAATATACGAAGGAGAAGGCGTAGAAGTTGCTTCATTCATGATCCTTTGAGCATTTCTGTAATGAAGAAGAGCATCATCATGTAAACCCCATTCTTCTGCTCTAACACCTTTAGCTATTTCCTCTTTCGCTAAATCAAAGTATCCTTTAAGCTTATACGCAACCCGTTCATTAGTAACCGGAACTCCATCGATACCATCCATGGAACCAGAAGACGAAGAAGTTGATACACTATGATCTTGCTTTGATTCTTCCGTGAAAATCGAGCTAAACGAATCAATTACACCTCTGAGAAAACTCATATCTAATAAGATACCAAAAAAAAATATATATATATATCGATCATCACTTCCGAATTTAGACAAACAGTAACAATAATACATGAACAAACATCAAATCGACAAAATTGGTTTCACTTACCACGATTTGCTTCAAAATCGAATTCATGTCCGAGAGGAAATCAAATCAAAACACAGTGAATTGAAAAATTTGATGAAATCGAATGAAAAATGGAAACGAAGAAGATACGCAACACGGTTTGTCTTTTAATCCTCTACCTCAGAGAGAGAGTTCCGATTATGGGCCTAGTTGGGACCAAATATTATTTTTTGTCAGAAGCCCAATTATTTTAGTTATTGTTTTTTTTTTTAATTGTTCTGTCTTTTTCTAGACCTTCTCCTTCATGGAGCCGTGAGATCTTGTTATCTTTTACTTCTTGTCGTTGACTTCTCAACGAAATGATTAGAT